GACCATTTTTTTACCGCCTTTATTGAATTGACAGTTAATATAACGGTTTTTTACTGAAAAAATGAGCTAAAAATTTCTACTAGCATTTGTACGGGAATTGCCAATAACTTGTCAGTACGGGGCTTGCCTTTAATAGCTCTATTTCTGAAAGCCCGCACAGACTAAACCCTCGAACGAACCAACCAAATGTACCGTAGTTAGGGTTGAAACCAAAATAAGGTTGTAACTAAAATATCTCTTGACGAAAAATAAAACAGCAGCAGAATAATATATGCTGAAAATAGATTTCGCGGTCATAAAAATCATAAAAAATATAGCATTTGTGTACCACGGGCAGCAACTCGTTCTACGTCAATCCGTTCGTACGGTACGGTATCGTACCAGCACCAGTTTATGTGCGTTGTTAGGCCTCTCCAAAGTACAGTAGAAGTAAGTTGTAAGATTGTAAGATTTGAATATTACGTACGATACTGTACGTAGCGAACCGTGCTTACTCGTATCAATAATTCGACTCGCAGTAGCTGACTCTCTGTGGTGGAACCTCATCAGTTTCGCACCAATAAATACCATTGTCTCCAACCGGGTTACTGCAGCTCACAGGAAGCGAAGATATTCCGACCATTATTGATTGGAACAAAAGAGTGTCAAAATGGAATTCGGCACTCTCCACGAGACGAAAGATGTGATTGACCACAACGGGAAATCAATCGAAGTTAATCATGTTGACGTCCGTGATAAATCACGCTGGGACGTCGGGCTAGACTGTATCAATTCTTTGCTAAGACCAGGAAGCGCAACACTAGAAGCAATGACAGACTACCAACGCCTCGGTTTAAAAAATTTGAAGGCGATGATTATGCTTTCTGGAGATATGGAAGATGACACAAAGAATCATATCCCACAAGCACTTCTCGAATCGAGCGAATCTGCAAGCAGCGACTTCTTGTTGGCAGAATATGCAGGTTATGACCGCCGTTCGCAAGCAAAAACTCTGACTAATAGCATCCATAAGGTTCTCTCGGCTAAAAAATGCGCTATAAAAATGAAAAAAATAGCGAGTTCAAACGTGAACGCTCGCGAAAGTGCCGAGTCCTTGTTCTTGGAATCCGTCGATTTCGAAAGCAAGGAAAGAACAAATTTGCCACCACATTGGTTCGATCTAGACAATACATCAAAGCTGAAGTTGAGGGATCTTTTGTCGTGGGAGAATCTTTCTCGTTGGGATTTCAATGTGTTCGAAGTCGATGACACCTTGAAGGGGAAAAACACCCTCATCTTCGTCGCCTGGGCAATCATTGGATCCCCTCATTCACAATATGCAATGGATATGGCTTGCTCAAAGATCGAAGGGGACACGAATACAGAAGTAGAGGGGCTAGCAGAAAGAAAAGGCTACGACTTTGTATCTGCACTGAAAATCAGGGAGAAGACGCTTCTCAATTTCTTGCGCGAAATTGAAAATACATATAGAGACGTGATTTATCACAACAAAGTTCATGCAGCAGATGTGACACAAAATCTAAACGCTCTGTTTCAAATGGGGGGGGAATTTTTTTCGGACGGGAAACTAGAAACATTTTCCATGTTGATTGCGGCCGTCGTTCATGATGTTGGACATCCTGGCGTCAATAACGCTTTTCTTATCCATTCGAAATCCGATCTAGCGATAGTATACAACGATGTCTCTGTGCTTGAAAATATGCATCTGTCCACAATGTTTCGAATAATAACCGGGAACTCTCGAGATCCGAAAATAGATGTTTTCGAGAACTTCTTGGAGGAGGAAACGGAAGTGGCTAGGAAACTTATCATCAAAGCAGTACTTTCAACCGATATGACGAAACACTTCAAAAAATTGAATACTATCAGAGGTGTAATACTATCTCAAGAAGATGGTGAAGAGGTGACTGAGTCACTTCCGATGGATATCTGTTTCACGAGCGAGATACTATCCTTTATGTTGCACGCAGCCGACATCTCAAACCCCTCCAGAGATACAGCAACTGCGATAAAATGGGCCGATAAAGTTCTCGAAGAGAGTTTCCACCAAGGAGATCTGGAACAAAGTATGGGTCTTCCAATAACACCACTGAGCGATCGAAACTCGACGCATAGAGAGAAATCTCAGATTGATTTTATCAAATTCATCATTTTGCCTACCTTTGAGCTGCTTGGACAGTTGATACCACGAGTTACAAGTGAAGTTATACCAAAGATATTCGAGAACCTTAAATACTGGCAGGAACAGGATCTACTTCGTGAAAATGAAGTGCGAAGCCGTAGAAGATCAAAAACTTGAACAAACCAGCAAAACAATTTTCAAAAACTAGCAACTTTTAGAATTATAACAGCAAGTTACTCCTCGTAAGAACAGAACAATAATTCAAATCCATCAAATCTCGCTACAAGGAAAGTTCTACTAAACTAGACAAAAATTCTAATGTCGTATTCGGAATCTTGTTGAAGTATTCACCTTGGCTTCTCTGCAGAAAATCATAAGTTGGTTTTATTAACGCTTATTAAGAATGAGTTTGTTAGCATGAAACGCCATCTGCGCCTTTTTGGTCCCTTTCAGAACCCGAGGATGGTTACGGAGAAGTCGATTGCTGTTAGGTAAGGTATTTTTCGAAATTATCTTTCGACTACACGAATTCTTCATTCGCTATTTGTTGACGACAACGACTGTCAGACCATGTCTTACATTGAATTTTATTTCCGATGAAAGCCTCGACACCTAGATCCTTAAACTCGTGGAATTCTATTATCAAACAAACTTATGGATTTTTTACTTGTCGCGCTAACCAGCACTGATACGGCGCTCCGAGACGATTCAATTAGTGAGAAGGAATCCCGAAGCTGATATTAGTGCATAACGAGTAAAGTGAGTGTTCTATGTCTTAATCCTTCTCTTGATAATCACAGCATCTGTTTGGAAATCACTCCTCTTACCCTATAATGCATACTGTATTATGGAAGTAATATATTATTATGTTGTGTTAGTGGTCCTAGTAGTTTAAGCGCACGAGCGCGGATCACAATAAAGCCAAAAAAGGAGACGAGCGAAAAAAACGCAAGTCCCGAAAAAAGGACCGAGGCAGTACTGGGATGTTTTTTCATGTCTCATCGATTCGATCAAACTTTCAATAAATGTTGTGGCTTCTACTCCCCATTGGGCTTGCCTCTCTTGCAATCAGGATAGAGGGCGCGACATTCCTCTTTGGTGCTGCCGCTCTCGATGCATGCCTTCATCAAGGTTCTGCACTCCCCATTGGGCTTGTCCCTCTTGCAATCAGGATAGAGGGCGCGACATTCCTCTTTCGTGCTGCCGCTCTCGATGCATGCCTTCATCAAGGTTCTGCACTCCCGATTGGGCTTGT